TAGAACTAATGTTGTTTGTGTGTGTGTGAGGTGCCTGTGTGATCAGATGGATTAAATCAAATAAAGATATAAAGAAAAGTAATAAAATGCATTAAGAGTGTCACAAAAACGAGTGTAGCCTATAGGCCTACTTGCTGCACAGTGTTTACTTTTGTTAATCTGTTAATTATATTATAGCCTATTATATATGATTCATTGAATTTACTACATTTTTTGGTCTTGTTTAAGCTGCTATTCGCGCATGTAAAGCTAAAGCCCTGTACAAAACAACAACAACAAAAAAAGACATCCTAATCATACTGGTTAACGATCGACTAATGAGCTTCGATTGACGGTTAAGAAAATAAAAATGAACAAAAAACCATTCTCCACCTTATTTACTATGCTGCGCGCAAGTTCAGGTAACTCAAAAACTTGCGTACACGAGCTGAGACCAGACGTGAGATTTGATCGTAGACACAGCTCACGTCCATATTGATAAATTCCAATTTTGAGTCTAATATCATCCCATATGAAATGACCGTACGCCCAATTTTCTGTCGTACGTTCATTTCGTAAATGAGGCCCATTGCTACTGTCTGAATAAAGACATAGGCTACATAATTTATTCCTAATGACAGGAAAATGAAAACAAAAACTCATTAATGCAAACCTAAGAGCACAGATGGTGGTGATGAAATATGAACAAAGTTAAGCTCGCCGTTGTCTCTGTTTGTCATCGAAGTTCTCTCTCTCTCTTCATCATGCTCAAAATCTCTTTATGGCATTTTACCAAATCAACACCATGAAGCAGTAAACCAATCCTGCTGTTTTCCTGGCTGAATGAAAGGAAGTCAACACATTTCTCTGTCTCACCCTGAAATTGGTCGGACACACACTTGCCCAGCAGTCAGTCCTGCTTCTCGGCTGAACCCTGCCAAATAATGACGGCGTTTCCTGTCATAAACAGATCAACCTCTGTGGCGCGGTCTGCCTCACAACACCCACATCTGAAAGCCCTCCAAAGCACATTTGTTCCAGAAGGATGTGCAGCAGGTATTTCTTTTACATCTAAGGGCTTTAAGTCAGTGTCTAGACGCCGCAGACGCAGCTGGGGAATCAGAGGAATTCTTAAAGATCTAGAAGACTCTTCCGCAGCTATGAAAGCTTTGAGCAGATTTGAAGAGAACGGCGCCACTTGATTTTTGTCGTGACACTCAACTGCCGGTTCTTTTGAGTCTTCAGACCACACACGCTAATTGGCTCGCCTGGTGCACTGCATAATTAGATTTCTTCATAATTAGATTTTTTTTCACTGGAAAGTAGGCAGAAAATATCAAAATGAAAGACAAGGCTCAGAAATATCATGTCTGGTATGATGAGAGATGTTAGATCTAGATGAGTCTGAAATGATGAGCTGGATGAATCTCACAAGAACATGTCCAATTCACTTTTCAATCAATCAATCAATCAATCAATCTTAAGTATTATTATATTTTAACATTATTCTAAATTATTGTAATCACACACACACACACACACATATACTGTACTGTGTGTGTGTGTG